CCATTTACTTTTCCAGACTTAGGTCAATCGTCGTCATCGTCGTCTTCAGGGACAAAGATGTCGTGCTCCTCCAGGAGGGCGGCAAAGTTCTTGCTGATCAGATTTCCCACATAAAGGAAAGGCACCACCACTAATGTCATGCGGATGAGACCAAATGGTGTTTTTTCCGGCTTCGGTAGAATTGCTCCAGACGGCGTAGACACTGCGGTCCTGCTTTGAGTCGTCCTGGGTATATTTGAGGTCTTCAAGCCGGTATTACGGGTCATTATCCCCATATTTCTGGAGGAAAGTCGCAGCGGGAGCCGCAACATACTCGCCGCCATTTTTCACTATTTTACCATATCCTAAAAGAAACGTTACTAACAGCCCTTTAACGGTTTTGTGCCAGTTTCCTGTTTCAAAATAAAAGCATGGATTTCAAAATAAAACCGAAGTGCCTTTCAAACAAACGTAAAAATATTTACCAAATTTAAAGGTCATTTACAATTAGTGGATCAAAATGTAAAACATAGCAAAATATTTAATTGTCACACTTTTTAAATTCCAAATTTATTGCAAAGTGTTGATATTATTAAAATATATAAAAAAATATCATGTGTAAAAATGTTTTTATGCACAAACAGCCATCTTACGGTACAGAGTGTGACTATCCCCACTGTACAGAATGATATGAGTAATCTTTGAATTTTTTGTAGGTTTGTTTTGTGTAGCCAGATTGTTCGGGTATCAAAACAAAGATAGTTTTATATCTTTGGTTTGTTTACTACAGTATCTAAAAACTGAATAAATATAATTTAAGTGTGGTATTTTTTTTGAGTGGTCATATAAAAGATGGATAACCAATAGTTTTTAAGCTTTGACTTTTTCTTTGGTTTGTTGATTTTTATGTATTTATTTTTCCTTCTTTTGAGGCCAGACTCAAAGTGCTAAGTTATGAGCTAATGCTACATAGCTTATTTATCAAGGTCCAATCAAAGACTTTATGGGTGTATCACATGGACACAGATACCTGCTAATTAGCAGTAACATGCAGACATAAAACTAGAGCTCTCCTCAATGAAAACCACCCCCAGCCTTGTCTAAGAATACAGTTCAGTGACTCCGATTAACTGAGGTGAAGCCCAGCAGACGGCTGTCAGCACCCACCTGCCAGTCAAAGTAGCCAAGATGTGAATAATGCATAATTTTAAGCCTTAATACAATCTAAATGGGTAGATTAAATTATAACAAGGGGAAATGTATATATTTTATTTTATTGTTAAGTATGTTTGTTTGTTTGTTTGTTTTTAAATTATGTATTTCATGTGTTTTTTTAAATTTGTGTTGTAAATTATTTATATATTTTTATTTTTGTTTAGTTTCAAATTATTTATCAGTGTTTAAACTTGAGATCATAATTTCATACTTCTGTTTTATTGTGCATTGTATGCCATCTTCAGTGTTATAGTCATCAATAGACGGACATAGGCCATTGTCTGCTTATTAGATTTTTCCTTTTCACCAGAAACTAGCAATGACAGGGATAGAAACACATTAGTTAAGAAAAAAAATTATAAATAATTATCTAAGATGAATTCATTTTCATCATGGTTTGTCCTGTCTTCATCATTGTCACAAGCAACCAAATGCTTCTGAGCCTAATGGCTTTGCCACGCATAAACTTTAAATGAACGCCTTTAATTGAGAATGTTAAATATCCATCTGGTTTCTGTGTGTTTTCTTCAGCTTTTTGACTCCAGTGAGAAATTCATTTTTATTATGAAACATGCTGTTTGCAATAAGAAATGTGTTTGACTGACTTGAATGCTCTAAGCTGATTAAAAGCCTCCTACCCAACTACACACACACACACACACACACACACACACACACACACACACACACACACACACACACACACACACACAC